CTTGAGCTTTCGGACAGGTCCATGAGGGCTTTGTAAGAGAATTCTGATCAAAGAGCAATCTTCCACTTTGAGCTCACGAAGAGGATCAAATCCATCGGTCTGGTGGTTGTTCTTTGCGCGATAAGATAGTGACTGGGGTCCTCCATGTTGCTGAGTGAGACAGTTGTTTGTATGTTCGATTTGCCTGTTGATAGCCTTCCTTGGACAACCTGAAAATGCAGTATCCAATAGTTCCTGCCCGTCAGTAGATTTAAATGTGAATCTAGTAATCGACTTCATCGAATATGGCAAGCCCTAACCGAGTCCCCTACTCGGTATGCATCTTGATCTAATAATGTCTCGTTGTCGTCTCTGAGTACGGTTGTGGAGACTGCAACAATAGCCGACTATCGGAGCTTGGCTTGCCATTCTATTCGCCCATGGTCTCGTACCCGTTTCAGAACCGACAAAATTCCGGGCCCCTCATTTGAGCCCTGCCCAGCCTTGGTTCAGTGTTGGTTATAATCATATAACTCTCAATCTGTATCCAAAATTGTCACATATCGGGCCTGTAGCTCAGGGGTAGAGCGTGTGCTTTGCATTGATGAGACTATTCTCTTCGATCGACAGCGAGTATGTACAAGGTCTAGGGTTCAAATCCCTACCGGTCCATGATCAGACTCATTGGCATGAGTTGTTTCTTCTTTTTGGAAGCCTCTCGAGGCAGAAAGTGCAGGAGTTGTGGTGGTGGGCCGATTGATTCGATTGAGTCGATTGAACCGAATAAGCCCGAATAAGCCGGGTAATCAGGTAAGCCTGAACAAGAGAATGTGCGACAATAATGTGGAGTGATAGGAAGAGCAACTGGCAACCAATGATTAACTGGGGAGCATACAGGTTTTGAGATCAGCATAGCCAGATATCCAGGAAGACGCTAGCTCTATTTAAGGACTAGTGTCGTATTCTGCGCTAGCCATATTTTGGACAAGCTTACCAGATTAGGTATGCATGATTGTTTTTGGATAAAGCTTAATTCGTGCTCTGCAGACGTCAAGCAAGCAGCAACAGCATGAGACGTGGTGAAAGAGAACTTTGAGCTGCACTGCGACTGGCGTAAGGGATCGAATACATAACGAGCCAATAGCATGGGATGCGAAATGCAAAATTGGTTTTTGGTGGTAGCTCTTTTAGCGTAGGGATAGTATTTTGTATGGCGTCATTTTAGTTTATTGAGTCTGGGATAGGTGCCTGAGAGCCTGAGATAAATTTTGGGTCTTGTGCTGGCATTTATCGCTTACATGTGGCGGCGCTCGCAAACGTTGCAAATATCTGAATTATTGCGAGACTTTCTGATCCAAAAGTTGTGCTCGAGATTGGTTTACCGCTCCTTCGCAGTTTGCGACATATCGGTAACGAACTTTTTGTGCAACGACATGGTGACCAACGGGACTGGTCCATCTGTAGCCGAGATGGCACAGATGACCACAGAAGAACGTATGCAAGGTCTTGAGCACTCTGAAGTCCGCTACTTCACTAGGTATGTGAGCTGAACTGTTGCATATTGTACGTCCTCTGATAATCTCAGTTATGACCATCACGGCATCCACGAAGAAATGCTAAAGGATGAAGTGCGCACGAGGTCGTACCGGGACGCCATCTACCAGAACAAACACATCTTCAAAGACAAAGTAGTGCTTGATGTCGGCTGTGGTACCGGCATATTGTCCATGTTTGCTGCAAGAGCAGGAGCCAAACATGTCATTGGTGTAGACATGTCCAGTATAATTCAGAAAGCCAAACAAATAGTGGAGCGTAACGGTTTTGGTAACCGTATCACTCTGTTACAGGGAAAAATGGAAGAAGTTGAAATGCCTTTGCATGTAATGCCAGATGGGAAGGTCGACATCATCATCTCTGAATGGATGGGATATTTTCTGCTGTACGAGAGCATGCTGGACACTGTGCTGTATGCAAGAGACAAGTACATGCGAACAGGCGGCAAGATTTTCCCTGACAAGGCTACCATCTACATGGCTGGTATAGAAGATGGCGAGTTCAAAGAGGATAAGATTGGCTGTACGTCAGATTGGCGCACAAGTTTTGATAATGTGCTAACATCTAGCAGTCTGGGACAACGTTTACGGCTTTGACTACTCACCCATGAAGGAAGTGGCCCTTACAGAACCTCTTGTTGATACTGTAGAACTGAAAGCGCTAGTCACAGACCCATGTCCTGTCTTCACCATTGACCTCAACACGGTCCAGACCAAAGACCTGGCGTTCTCAGAGCCTTTTACTTTGAAATGTCAACGCAATGATTTCGTCCATGCACTGATAGCATGGTTCGATATCGACTTTGGCGCATGTCACAAGCCAATTCGCTTCTCCACAGGTCCTCATGCCAAGTATACTCACTGGAAGCAGACAGTCTTTTACATACGTGAGGTATTGACTGTGGAAGAGGGCGAGGCCATTCAAGGCTTTCTTTCAAACAAACCGAATGCGAAGAACAAACGAGACTTGGACATCAAAATAGATTACGAGCTTGAGACTTTCGATTCGTCTCGCAAAGCGGCTGGGTCTTGTGAATACAGAATGTGTTAGATGCTTTGAGCAAAGGGTACTGAGTACGGCATATCACGGCGTTAGTGGAGATTGGGAGTGAGACATATGATGGAAAAGTTTGCATGCTATGGAATTCTGTGCATCTTCTCAGACAGCCATAGATGCATTGACGACGATACGGTTGACTGATCTGGAAACAAAGAATTTCATGCGCCTCGACGATTATGTACTAAGATACCCCACGAGTTGACGCTGAGTCTTATGAATAATGATCACAAAGATGGATGTCAAATATCTTTCGACCCGAAGAAGACTGCTCTCTTTTCTCTTTTCTCATGCTCAGCTTGGAGGGACTAACCAGCTGGGAACGCTGTCCTAGGAGCAATGAAGTGCTCTCTGAACCGTACAACCGATTATCGTTCTTATTCTCTCCCGGGACTATGAGGCACTTGCAATGATCCTTGTTCCTCAGTCGTCACCCAAAAATGCAGACTTGTGTTGATTTTGCTGCTTGCTGCTCTATGATTCTGTAGCCGAAATTTGACCAAGTTCCTCGTTACCTCGGCTTGAGAGAAACCAGCCCAAGTTATCTCCTGCCCAAAAGTCCCCGCAAGCGCAGCCGACAAATACTCAGCGCGGGCGCTGAGCATCGAGAAGCTTGCAAAGCAGGATACTTTCGTAGACCTTGACCTCAGTAACTCACACACCCTCTAGCTGCAATTCATACAACATGCCCGATCCAGGTGTTGGTTTTGAGTACCCGCGAACAGAAGTCTCGTGGCTGAAGCGAGACGTCTTGCTCTTTGCTGCTAGCATCGGCTGTACAGCTGATGAGCTACACTTCCTCTACGTGTGTTCATACAGCAATAGCCTCTACAAGCTGCAATCTAACAGAATAATATAGGAACTTCACCCAGACTTCGCGGTCTTTCCGACATATTCTATTATCCTCCGTAAGTACTCCCAGAGCATTGCCTCATCGCAGATCTTACTGCAATTCTGACCGTTTTCTCTTTGGCATGATCTGAAGCTTACTTGGTGGACTAGCCTTCAAGAAAAAATCCCAAGAAGTGATAGACTTCTACGCTGCGCAAGAAGCAAATCCAATTCCCGGAGTTCCGAAGCTCGATGCACGTCGTGTCGTTGACGGCCAACGCAAGATCGAGTTTCTTAAGCCCCTACCACCCACCTCCGAAGGGAAGACTTTCGAGCTCCGATCGAAAGTTCTCGGTGTGTACGACAAGGGCAAACCTGGCACAGTTGTTGAGACCGAACAACTCATCGTTGACAAGAGCACTGGAGAGGTCTACAGCCGTGCAGTCGGTCAGGGTTTCTTCGTAGGACAGGGAGAATGGGGTGGTCCTAAGGGTCCAGCAACGCCGGCATACCCACCACCAAAGGGACGAGAGAGTAGCCCTGATGTTACACATGTGAATCAATTGACCCAGGAGAGTGCGCTGCTTTACAGGTAAGGACATGCTATCAAGATTGGAAGTCTAGTGCTGACGTGAAGCAGATTGAATGGCGATTACAACCCTCTCCATGCAACACCGGAACCAGGCCAGAAGATGGGCTTTGGTGGTGCGATCATGCATGGTCTTTACTCATGGAATAGCGCGGCTCATGCGTTGTTGAAGGAACTCGGTGGATCAGATCCAACGAACATCAAGGAATTCCAAGCCCGATTTGCTAGCCCTGTCAAACCAGGCGACAAACTCATCACGGAGATCTGGAGAACTGGTGAGAAGCAGGGTGAATGGGAGGAGGTCCGATTCATCTGCAGAGTGGATGGTGGGAAAGTTTGTTTGAGCAATGGGCGGGCGTTGATGAAGACAAGCCCATCGGCGGGAAAGAGCAAACTATGATCTCGAGATCTGGTTTTTCTCAACGCAGCTGCTCAACTCCAACATTGTTCAGTGGTTTCAAAGGGAGACTACTGGCTACAATAGACTAGCTGTGCAGGATTGGTCCCGGATATAGTCAACTGATCCCGAGTCATCAAACATATGAATGAATGAATGATTTGGTGTCTCAATGTTTGTGAAGCGCACGGGGACTTGAGTTTTTTTGGATCCTGAAATACAGTCCCCGCAAAAAGTATCCGGACAGAGGTCAAATCACACCAAAATACATGATTTGCATGCCGGGCTATTTTGTTTAACAGCATAAGGTGTTATAGTATTAGGGTACAAGTAGTGTTCGTTTTACCGAAATGTGGACTTGTTATCTACTTTCAGGTTCGTTATCCGGAGGCTTCGAAGGTGTTGGAATATTAAGATCGAGAGAAGTTAACCCGAAGTTCTGGTTCGATACCATATAGCCTTCTATGAATAATGGAAGATAAATATTTAATTAAAGAAACACTCTGAAGGGCACCGTGATATAGATAGTATGTTAGCTATATCCTAAAGAAAAGAATACATTATCTCCTAGATTTTTTTTCGTAAGAGTAGTGCAAAAGTCGTGTGTTTGGGCGCGATTTGACCTCTACTATTTTTGCGGAAACTGTATGGTCACTTATTTCCACGCTAACATTCCCCTTTCTCCACAACCCTGATCCGACCCCAAGCCCTAACTAATGCATAATCTCAAGAATTGTTGTATTTTGGATCGACAAGCACTTATCATGCAAATCACTTGACAACTGAGAGAACAATCAAGATTTGCTGATCAAATTCACTGTCCCTCAAGCGTAGATACCATGATCAATCCCAAGGCAGTGCGCTGCTTTTCTGTGGTGCTAGTGCTGTGCGCTCTTCTGCAAATCACTTCTGCTTCTCTTGGCGATCGGTTGCCAGAATTTCATGAATGTGTCGAGGTCAGTCAGCGAATCAAAGAGGCGATCAATGCTCATAACAACAGGTTTGCAAAGCCGAAAACTGCGTTCCCGGCAAGAATCAACTCCGTAAGTCACAGATAGTCTTGCGAACACTGGGAGCTCATCCTGGCTAGCAATCCGTCTCCGTTTGGTCTTCTGGACCTGTCCACAAGAATGCGATTACACCTGCCAACATGTCATCACGGATGAGCGAGAAGCACGAGATCCTCCCATGATGGAGCCAGTGGTTCAATTCCACGGGAAGTGGCCGTTTTATCGCTTCCTCGGC